ATTATACAGAGAGAAATGTTCGGAATTGTCGAAAATTGCAATTTTTTTAAACTATTTCATCAAGTTTCCTCCAAAAGTGAACTTTCTAATTTTTTTTCTGATTTTTAAAAGGTTTTCTAGCGGTTCAATATTGCGATTCAAATTCAGACCTGCAAAGTTGAAAGATAAAATCACACGGTTTCAAATGAAAGCTCCGATGTTCGACTACAAAAGTAGAAAAGGATTTCACTGGAGAAAAAATAGCAAAAGTACTCGGATACCCTTAATCGTTTGCAATCGTTTTCAAAAATAAAAATAGTATCTATGTTGTAAGGCCGATAAGCGGAGGTTTGTGAGGAGTGCTACAAACTCACACGACTCGCAAACCAACGCTATCGGCCGAATGACATATACTATTTTTTGTCGTGAAGGCCCGAAAAGNGGGGGGGGGGGGGGGGGGGGGGGGGGAGAGCCCCCCCTCAAAAAATAAACAAAAACAATAGAAAAAAAATTAATTGAAATTCGATATCGAAATTGTGCTCCTTGGATACATACAGTCTCATGAGTGACAACCAAATCGGCTCACTTCACGCAGCGGCTTTATCGGGACTAGCCCTGGTAAGTGAATCTACCGGGACTAGTCCTCATTTAACGGTACAGTACCGATAATCTCCATCTATCGGCCCGAAAATAGACCCGTAATTGCCACTTATCGGGCCTCAATGACGAAAAATACATACCTCTTGCCACTGCGAACGCCTGAGTTTATCAATATGCTCGAACAAATTATTGACTTGAACGACCTGAAGCATAACCATATCCCAGAATCCCGCAAGATCTTCATTGGTCGTCGGGAACTCCTCCCCAGGGACTTGATTCTGCAAGGAAACAGCCACAAGTCAAAACTCACCTAAAACCGTCAGAAATCGACAAATCAACGAATCACTCACAATATTCTTATGACAGAGTCCCTCAAACTGCTGCATTTTCTGCGTCGCCAAGAGCCTAGCTTTTCCCGCCGCAGACCTCAGCTTCCCAGCGGCCTCCTCCGGCAGTTGTTCACCACTCACCAACTCCTCTTCCGCAGACGCCGCAAGCTTGAACAATCTCTCGATCTCCGCCTTCAATAACTTAATGAAATAATGCCCATCTTTCTCCTCGGTTTGACTCTCCTGCATCGCTTTCAGAGTGTCTGGGACACTGGTAGCACTGACACTCGGTTCAAGCACAGGTAGAACCACCTCCAGTGCAGCAGGCTGTTGATCCGGAATGCTGGTGACACTGGCACTCAACTTGAAAGTGTCATGATCAGAAATTTTAACAGAAGGAGGCGAAGCAAAGAGTTTAGCATTATTCTTTCCGACAGCAGGGGATAACCTTTGCAAAGGCTTGATCACCTGTTCACTGCCGTCAGTGGCCCTCCTTGGGCTGACAACAGGCAGTTGTGCCCTGAATTCAGGTCTCAGATGTCTCAGAACAGGCAGATTTTTCAGGGACTCCTCGGTATTCGCATTGTCTACCAAAGAGTCGTTGTTATTACTCGATTTATTAAAGCTACTTTCACTACAGCTCGACTGATTCAATGATCGTTTGAAGAAGAATCCTTGGGCCAATGCACCGGGCCCATAGAGCCTCTCCACCCTCTGCTGGATAAAGGACTTCTCGCAGGACGAATTGAGCGTTTGATTCTCGGTTCCCATCGCTGAACCATTCGTTAGATTACTCTCGTTGAGACAATTACTAGATAAATTACTGGTGTTCGATGTCTTGGGAGATGAGACAGTTATCGTTGAGGTGAATGTTTTTGTCTCTCTGCAGGTTGTCATTTGTGTTAGACGCTTTGGAGAGCCTCGGATGGGACTGATCTCGGTGAATGAGTGTATGGGAACACCTCGGTCTACCTCGGAATAACCTTGGCAGGTGCCCAGTGAGCTTCGGGTCTCGACGAAAGTCGCAACTCGGCACTCCTTGTTGCCGTTGCTGAAACCGTTCTGACGGTCCATTGCAAGCGGAGATATTGATTGGCTTTTTGCTGGAATTCCAAGATTTTCGCTTGATCTGGAAGGAGAAATGCATTGATTATTTATGGGGGACGGATGGTAAATTGAGAATCTTGAGGACACAAAAACGATGAGGGGAAAATGAAAGAGAAAATCCCAATGAGGGATTTGGTATCACGTCTTTTCAACTAGGCGACTTTTCAACTACGACATTTCAACTGCTTTGTTTTTAATTACTGTAGTTTTGTTGAATTTACCAAAATTTTTAACTTTTCATCTTCATTTATTTATTTACTTTTTTTCGTTTTTCTTTAAACACACTTTTAGGAACATCCAATCCAAGGACTCAGGGTAATTTAGTAATAAATATGATGCAAATATTTTTAATCAAAAACTTTCAAATAATCTATTTACAATCTTATTTTTTGTTTATTCGAAAAATATTTTTCGAAGGATGTGAACCTTTTTAATTTCGCAAAGCCTGTTTTCCATCTTATCTGTTTGATAGTTTGAAGGAAATTCGGGACTGATTTACTGAGAATATCATATTTTTGTCGTGTATTTTAATTGCAGTAGTTGGAATGTCGTACTCTGAGAAAAAATTTCTAATATCTAAAACATATTTTCTTGAGACAAGTAATTTTTCTTCAATTGCTCAATTCTACTAGACATGCTTTACAATATTGTTGTACTCAAGTATGATTTTGTCGTAAATGAACTCACTCAAATTGCGTAGAAGAATCGTCAATATTCAAGCATTTATTGTTTTCATGTTTTTAAAAAATGCATTTTCCTAAATGCATTGTTCCTCAATGTCTTATTTTCTACAGGAAATAATTTAGATTTTTTAATGTTTATAATTCAGTAGTGAAGTGGTCAAACGGTTTAACTCAATTCCATTCTAGCGCCAGTTCTCGATGATTATCTCAAATTCTAAAGGAGTTAGAAAAATTTTCCTAAAAATCTTTTTTGTAAAGAAAAGTAAAGGCTATCGAAAAAGATCTTACAAAATTTTCGCTATCTTTCTTAAATTCCGAGTTATTCAACAAAAACTCAACTGGGAGCTAAGTCGACTTAAACCGATTGACCACTTCACTACTGAATTAGTAAGGGAGCTCCCTCAAGGTTATAACTCACATGATCATCTTCTAGAGCAATATAATTTTCATAATTGAAACCTAATGAGAATTGCCTGGGAATGACTCAACTGGAGTAATACGGTATTGAAAAAATAAATACTTCTTCGAAGTAAATGGATATTTGGCAAAACAAAATTTTGCTCAGTGTGCTATCTCTTGATATTTTACCTGAAACCTGCAGGGCTTGTTTCTCTCGTGATGAGTCTCGACCCAGGACTACTGTCTCTCGACCTGAATCCCTCCCTGAGTTTGCTGTCGTACCTGGTGATCCCCGAATACCCACTAATACTGCAAGCCAATCCCAGATAACTAGGTTTCTTAGCTGTCAGCTGCTCAGTTTCGTTCTCGCCATTTATATTGTCCTTATCCGGTGAATTTCCCTGGGTCTTCGAAATCGTCTCGTTGCTGCCGTTAACAGGATTATCTGCTGGCGACGTCGTATCCCCGTTTGACAGATTCAGACTGTGAAGTGTTCGTTCAGATATCGAGTCGACTGTTGCTTCTGGAATTCAACGAATCAAAATATTTCAGTAATTGGCAAGACTTGTCTTCTGAACACAAAGTTCCAGTGGAAGGCGAATCGGAAAATTGCACGATTTTTGTAAATCCATTACATAATTCCAAGATCATGATCTCAATAAAACAGTGTTTACTTAGAAACGTTCAACCCCTCACGTACGGGGGCGATACATCGTATCGACACACAAGCGAATGCGAACACTAGCTTTTAAAAATGATTATTTCCAAACCCAAATGGAAATTCATGAAGAATAATTTTTCAGGGAAACGTCAGTGAGCATCATGGATAAGGTATGGGTTGGACCATGGAACTGAAAGAGAGAAAACACTCGACAGGATTACCTTTTTAATATTATTTCAATAACTAGAAAAACATCCAATAAAAATTATTTGACATCCGTAGGTGATGAGAAAAAATCAATGAATCTGATAAATAAAATCAATATTCAAAAAATGTTCGAATGCACACTTAAATAGTTACTTGAAACTTGGAAAATTTCGTGCTCAGCGATTGAATTAGGGCTCGAGAACAATAAGACCCCCCTTCCGTTTCCCCCCCCCCCCCTCCCCCCGCCCGGGTCATCTACACACGAAACACCTTAAACAACGCGTCGGAAAGAAAAATGTTATTAGAGTCTTCGCCTCCAAATGCGCCCCCCAAACTGCCCTCACGAGGCTGACATTTCATTTTGGGACACCCTGCATAGACGGAAATTGACGGTCAAAATTCATTCGGTCATTTCATCTTATGACCAATCGTCTTTTTTAGTCTGACCGTACGGTCAGATTCTTGGTCCGGCAATTACCGGTCATGACGTAGTCATTAACGGCCATTTGACCGGTAATTTTTATCACTCCCACCTCGAGTTCCTAATGAACGTTCTCAACAACAAAATTTAATATTCCAACCTGATCGGTCAGAGACGGAGCGATCGACGTCGAGGCTGCAGCTGCCGATGGACTCCTGGCTAGTCATATTAGGATGTTTAATTCCACCTCGGCAAATACTATCAGGATCTAGATGTTGATAGTTCAGCGGTTGGACAGCGAGTGATAGTGGCCGGTTACGACGATTCGATGACCTGCCACTTGACCCGCTGCCACCACCGCCTGGTACCACTGTCACCGTCGTATCGTTGCCGTTGTCCTCCTCAAGGCCCGCCACCTCGCTGTGACACGTACCACTCTTCGGACGCGGACGGCGATTGTCCACCCCTGGTTTACGATCCTCGTGGACACTGAGAAGCATTCCAGCCATTTCATTCTCTTTATCTCTATCTCAGGTGTACATTTTAATTGTATTTTTTTTTATTCATTTTCATTCTCTGTGCAGGTTTATTCGTGCAGGGTGCCAAGCTTACGAATGTTATGGTGCTGTTTTTTTTTCGTTTTTGTTTTTTTTAGCTTTTGTGCAGATGTGCAGGTCGACCATCGATCGCTGTGTGAATTATGATATGGATTACATGAAAGTGCGGTTGTACTTTGGCAAATGAGTAGTGCAGGACGTAAGTGATGGGAAGCGTGTGAGGTCTTCCATGCTCGGTGGAATGGATGGTCTGTTTATCGTCTTTTTAATGGGGATTTTATGAAGTACAATTGAATTAAAGTGTCCTATTTTCGTTCTCAAGAGGATGAATCAGTCATAAAGTTGGATGAGATAAGACAAAATTTTTGTTGGCTGAAATGGAGAGATCAGAATAAATGTCAAGTACCTTTTTGCAGGAATTTTAATGAATCACACAAAAGGAGTCTCTTGACAGTTCTTCATCGATTGAATTATTTTAGAAATATTTGAGATATAAATTTAATGGAATTTTTTCTTTTTTCTTTATTTTACAACTTTATTAAGGGAGGATCTCACTTGAAAGTCTGTTGTGACTGAAAAGACCTATCGAGCGACTTTTGATATATGATGAGAGATCCGAAAAAGTAGAAAAAGTGTGAAATTCAATCTTTTTGCCCCGAACATTGAAAATAAGAGAAAAATTCAAGTATTTTTTATGTAAAAGCTCGAGAAATGGGGTTTTGCCCACACTGTTAAAAATTTTCTTCTGAATTTTTCGTGCCAAATTCCAGAAATTTTTGTCGTATTCAAATTCCACTGAAATTTGAGGAAATCTTGTCATTGAAAAATCAAATATTCCATTGATTTTTTGTTCAAATGATCTAAAAATCAATAATATACTGGATTTTTCAGTTCAATTGTTCTATGAAAATTCAGAGCAATGAGGAAAATTCAGTGAAAAATTGGAAATTCATGTTATTTTGTTTTTGCATATTCATGTTCCACTGAAAATTCAATAAATTTGTGAAATTTTCATCTCACTTAGACTTAAAATTCATGAATTTCCTTGAATTCTACCTAAAAGTAGAAATTTAATAACCGTTTTTTCCCTAAATCCCATTCAATGTCACTCTTATGATTATTATTATCATATTTTCCATGAATTCCATATCCGTGAATTATAATTACCGTTAAATTATTAAGTAGTCAATTCGTTAATATCACTCTTAATTTGAATTATTGAAGTAATCGTCACTTTAAATATTCAAATTCCGAATTATTTATTAATTAGTAATTTAGTTAGGACGACTGACGATTATTTGGATAGTCGAAAATCCCTTATAAGAAATTTAGTATTATTTACTAAATAGAAAATTTACAGTTTCATATTATTAAATACTTAATTGATCATCAATTGGAAATTTAGATTATCAACTATTTTACTATTTGTAAATTTCGATTAGTAAAGAAGAATCGGGCAAAATGGATTGCATTTTACATGTTTCCTATTTTTTTGGATGTCCCGTATTATATCAAAAGTCACTTGATAGCCACCACTGGCTTTTAAGTTTCAGGGCGGTCCCCCGTTGTTGTCCCTCTGTTGTTTCGCCTATGAAAAATCCAATAGAAAATCCTAACGCGTCCCCTAAGGAGTTCTTTCGCAATTCCATTTAAAATCCTGTTAGTTTTTTCTTCAATTTCTATGAGAAATTCTGCAGCTTTAATATCGCGGTTATTTCCCCAGAGGAAAATAAAATAGGAAAATATGCAATGAAGGTAAATCAAAAATCGCTTTAAATTTATCTATACAAAATATTCCATTGTGATTCCATTTATTTTTTATTATTTCGTTTTTTTTAAAATTCTATCCAAAGATTTCTCTGAAAAAAATTTATGAAGTTTTACCAAGATTAGGGTTATGCCAAAGGATTTCTATAGGAGACATTTCAAGAGAATAGGTTTTATTTACACTGTCAAATATGTTTGGGAATTTTAGAGACTTTTTCATTACAGGGGTATTAAAAAACAATTTTACAGGTTTAAATCATGATAACGAACAACTAAATGCCAACATGCTGTGATTTAAGAAGAAATTTCACTACCAATGATTAAGACGGACGAAAAGCATAACAATTGATACCTATAACGAAATTGATGATAAAAAATATTTGAATCGATATTATTAAGTTCTTTCCATAAAAAAATTGGAATGAAATCGATGTGTGGGTGTTGCAAAGTAATTTTCTTGCCATTTTCCAAACACACCAACGATTCAATTTAATCGAATGGAATCTTTTACTTCACGGACGAACACATTTAATAGAAAAACCTATCAAATTCGTTAGAAAATTCTATTGAATTTCTATTGAACTGTTCTATTAGTTTTTAACCGATTGTATTAAAATATTCAATAGAAAATATTCAGTAGAAAAAGTCAATAGAATTCAATTTATTTATATAACTTATTCTATTGAGATATTTTCTATAGAATTTCCTCGGCTCAAGTTTTTTCGTTTGATTTTCTTGATGAGAAGAAAAGAAAAATAAAAGGAAAAAACCTTAGAAAAGTTGAGTCGAGCAAATTCTATAAAAAGTATATGAAAAGAATAAGTTATATAGAAAAATCGAATTCTGTTGATTTTTTCTATTGAATGTTTTCTATTGAACATGACAACAGAATCAGCCAAAAACTAATAGAAAGTTTAATAGAAATTCAATAGAATTTTCTAACGAATTCGATAGGTTTTTCCATTAAATTTTTTCGTGCGTGTTACACTCGATTAGTCCGCGCGCTCTGCGCGCGTGTCCTACTCCATGGGCCTTAATGTATATCAATTGTAGTGAATGGTGTTACCTTAGATTTCTGAAGTAAATATCAAGTTTTTCGAAGGAAAAGTTTCAGGAATGTATTCTATTTTTTATAATATAATACATCCACTGTGACGTTTTTTGAAACGAATCTATTCTTCTTATTGTGCCATTAGATTTTTTACAAATGATGATAGCATGCATTAAAGATATTACGATAATACTATACTATATTATATATGCTACGTATAATATACAATATATAATAAAGTATTATCGTAATATTTTTACGGTATGCTATCATCATCATTTATAAAAAATCTAATGACACAATAAGCCGAATAGATTGGCTTCAAAGAACGTTACACTGCATTTCTTATTAAAAGAACTTCTCTTGTTCAGTGTACGAGCACCCATAAATGATTTCAACACGACTCATACACTAAAAAAGGAAGAAAAACACACAAACAAGCAAATGAGACTTCGACAAATGGAGTTTTGGTAATTTCGCATACTTCAAAGTCGCCAATTCTTGTTCACATGCGGAGAGGGAAAAATTGTAGAAATCTTGTGACCAGACCATAATCCAGAGGTGATGGACAAATTCTCTCATCAACCTCAGATTTAGAGATATTCGTAACTCCCTCGACTTAATTTAAAAAAATACCTGCAACGCCAGTGTTTCCAGATGAAAAATTTCGATGCTCCCTTCTTATTCCCCGAGGGATTCACCATGTACGTTCCAGTATCGAGTTTCAATGGCATTGTAATGAATATGTTCAAACCACAAGAACAAGAAAATAATCAACAACAAAAATCATTCCGAACCCGGAATAATCGATCATTTCCCGACTGTAGCCACTTTCACGAATTGACCAGAATCGTTGGTTCAGACGAGTGAATTAATCGATTGAGAAGGTCCTCGAACTAATGAGAGACTAGACTGATCTCAACTCGAGTGCCAGAAGTGGAGTGGGACCTGAGAGCATTTCCCTCGGCTTTTCTTCTACTTTTTTTTTCTAATTTTTCTTTCTTTCATCTTTCTCTCTACTCTCCGTTCCCTTCCTGGTCCACGACAGGAACGAGGGATCGAATGGGATATTTTTGGACGTCTTGAGGGGCACTCGTGGCCTCTGGCACGCGCTCGTTGACGATCCCGACAATTGTATACAACGTGACAGATAATACCTCCCCATCTCACACTGTTAAAATTCATTTCACATTCCTCCGACCATGTGAAAGAGGTTACACTGGGTCAGCTATACTTGTCAACGGTTAATAATTTCTTTTCCGTGGTAAAAAATATGGAGAGTCTGGTTCAACTGAAACCCCAAGTCACATTAAAAATTTCTTTATATCTTTAGAACATCCATTCTTTTTCTTGTCTTAAGGAGAGAATTATGTGGGAGTTTATTTGATGTAAGGTCGTGGCATTCATTCACCAAAAATCATATTTCAAGTCGGAGAAATATTTTTGAAAGTTCCAGTGCGATGGAGAGAACAAATAAAATAATGTTATGGATAAAAAAAAAACTTTTTATGTGAAATTTCCCTCGTCTTTCACTCCGTGTGGACTTATATTCTGTCTTTTCGCTTCAGTTAAAACACTCGGTAATGCATTTTGCAGGCTCTTGAGGGAGAAAAACATGTAGAACTGAAGAAAAAAAACAGTCCGCGGAAAGATCATGTCCTTGCGTAGAATCGCAAATGGAATTGTAAAGGTGTTCGTCAACACATATGCACCGAGAGAAATAATTAGCTCTGCCGAAAAACTATGCGTTCCACGCGAGGGAAATTAAGCATTCCGAAACAAAATACATATTATATGATTTGGAAAATCATGTAATTTTCCAAGTCATGTAATTTTCGTGTTTTCAACTCGTTGCAAACATTCAAATTATTTAATCTTTGTTTTTTCAACTGAAATTTCAAGGAATTTTGTCATTCTAAATTCATAACTTCATGGAAACATCCGTAGGAACTGTAAATTTCAGTGTAATTATTGCGAGAAAATTAATGAAAAATCAGATAAATTCAGAAAAAAAGTATCCTTGAATTCCAAATTCCTCCAATTTTCCGGAAATTCCTTCAAAAATTCCAATAATTTTCAAAGAATTCCTTGAAAATTCGAGGGAATTTGGCAGT